ATTGGTGTACGTTGGAAGTTAGACACTGTATAGATGTGATGCATGTTGAAAAAATGTTTGTGATAGTATATTTGGGACATTGCTTAACATAAAAGGAAAGACAAAAGATGGAATAAAAGCAAGACAAGATTTGGTAGACATGGGTATACGTTCTGAATTACATCCACAATCAGTTGGAAAACGCACTTACTTACCTCCAGCTTGTCATACTCTATCAAAGAAAGAAAAGAGAAGCTTTTGTGAGTGTTTACGTGAGGTGAAAGTGCCACAAGGATACTCCTCAAATGTTAAGAGTCTTGTGTCTATGCAAGAGTTGAAATTAGTTGGTTTAAAGTCTCATGATTGTCATGTGTTGATGCAACAACTTTTACCAGTGGCTATTCGAAACATCTTACCAACTTCTGTTAGAATTGCTATTACTCGATTATGTTTGTTTTTCAACGCCATTTGTAAAAAGGTAATTGATCCAAAAAAGTTAGATGGATTAGAAAATGAAGCAATTGTAATAGTGTTCTAGTTAGAAATGTATTTTTCCCCTTCATTTTTTGATATCATGGTGCATTTGATAGTCCATTTGGTAAGGGAAATTCGGTTATGTGGTCCAATTTTTCTTAGATGGATGTATCTTGTTGAGAGATACATGAAGATCTTAAAAGGATATGTGAAGAATTAGTACAGGCCAGAAGCTTCTATTGTGGAAAGGTACATTGCAGAAGAAGCCATTGAGTTTTGTTTAGGATACATGTCAAAATCAGAACCAATAGGTATTCCTAAGATGAGACATGATGGAAGATGTGAAGGTAAGGGTACTCGAAATTTAAAGATTAAAAATGTTAGTCGGAAAGAAGTTGACCAAGCACATTTATACATATTGAACAACACTGATGAAGTAATCCCTTACATATCACAACACATAACTGAAATAAAGGCAACACATCCACGAATGAATGAAAAATGGGTATTGAATGAACATAACAAAATTTTCCTTTCTTGGTTTAAAAAAAGGGTGTATGTTGAGATTAATGTTTCAGAAACACTTTTGAGACTTGCTCGTGGGCCTAATAGTGATGTCATTACATTTGGTGGGTATGACTTTAATAATTATTGTTTCTACTCAAAAATAGAAGATGATAAAGGTAGAGTACAAAATAGTGGGGTCACAATTCAAGATGAATCTATGCATTTTTCTAGTTCTAAAGACAAAAATCCTATCACAGCTTCTATAAGTTATTTTGGGGTCATACAAGAGATATGGGAAATTGATTATGTTACTTTTAAGGTTCCTGTCTTCAAGTGTAAATGGGTTGAAGGGAATACGGGTGTGCGAACAGATGACCTAGGATTTACTTTGGTTGATTTGAGTAAAGTTGGGTATAAGGATGAACCTTTTATTTTGGCATATCAAGCGAGACAAATATTTTATTTCAAGGATCCATGTAATGAGAGATGGTCAATTGTCCTTGAAGGAAGAAGCATGCACGGAATTCATGAAGATGAGTCTCTAGATATACATGAAACACCTTCATTTTCAAGTAGACCATTTGATGACATAGTTGACAATGAAGTTGATGACATACATGCAATTCAAAGTGATCATGATGAAGGGATATGGGAAAACATACCAACATAATAGGTGTTTATCTTCACATTTTCTAGTTCCTTTTATTCAAACTTATAAAGTATGTTGACTTCATATTGTTTTGTTTTTCAGGATATGTCGGATTCCACATCTGGTACTGGTAGTGGTAGTGGCAGTGGCAGGAGCGGAAGTGGAGGTAAAGGTAGATCTGTCACTCGATTAAAGTGGTTGATAGCAAGGAGGGTAGCTAGAGAGAAAACTCAAGTTGAAGTTGATCCACGTTCTGGTAAGGCATCTGGCCCAAATGCTGCTAAGTTTAAGAGCTATTTGGGACTACTAGCTCGACACCATGTTCCGATTATTACTCCATCTTGGGATGATGTATAGAAAACCGAGAAGAACCTCATGTGGCAGGATGTTCAGGTATTTCTATATTTTTTGAATACTTTATATATCATTATTAATTGAATTTAACATTTATTGGTCATTTCACAGCAAAATTTTGATGTTCCTAACACTGAGGTGATGAGGAAGAAGGTTTTATCCTCCATTCCATTAGATGGAGGGACTTTAAGACTTTCTTGACATGGGAGTATGTATTTGGAAAGTTTCAAGATGAATATCCCTGTCTAAAGTATCAAATTAGTGAGGAGGATTGGTTACAGTTTTGTGCCAGCCGAATGGACCCCTCTTGGCAGGATAAAAGACGTGTTGCCCAACAACATCAGAGGTTGAATGACGCACCCCATGTATTGTCACGAGGAGGGTATGCATTATTGGAGCAACGTCTCATGAAAGCCAGAGAAGAGTCAGCAGGAGTTGAGTCTACTGACCTTGCATCTCCACCCCCTCGCTATGAGATGTGGAAGGCAGCCCAAACAAAATCTGATGGACAAATGACTTCTAAGTCTACCCGAATCATTGCTCTGAAAATCGTAAGTTATAATGTCAATTTGAATTGATTCTAATGTGAAAGTTAGTGTATAACTTAATTATTGTTAATGTGTTGTAGGATGATTTAGTTGAGCAGAGCACCCAAGGATCATTTATTCCTCATGGTCGACAAGATATATTGGCGACAGCCATAGGAAAACTAGATTACTCAGGACGTGTGCGTGGTGCTCGGTGGATCCTGGGCCTTCGTGATTACTTTGGTCCAACATCACGAAGGACCACTACTCGACTCTTGCAGCCGGGAGGCCTTGCATAAAATGGAGATGCGGTTTGAAGAAAAGTTAAATAAAATAAGGCAAGTCCTTGCGACAGAAGAGTTTGATGAGAAAATTGAATCTCTCGCTCGCTCTCGACAGAATGACTCAAGGAACACCTCAAACAATTGAACATGATGTTGTTTGAGTCAGCACTAAAGGGAGTTGTGTTGCTACTGCTGTTGATCCTTCAGGAGAATATACTCAGACTGATGCATCACACCAGTGTAAGTTATATGTTGAAGATGACCCCCTGCGTCTAGTGGCTATTGGTCGAGTTTTTGAGGGTGGTTTAACCATCCATGGTGTCCCTCTACAGGCAGACTGGACACGAGTAGTAGTTGATGAAGTTCATGATGCTAATGCTCTAGTGCCTTTTCCTAATGAAGAGATTCAATTGGTGGGGCAGGCAAACGGGACATTCTTGGCCAAGACGTTTGGTTATGCCACTATCAGCACAGTACTAAGGTAATATATATATATATATATATATATATATACTTTTCTCTTTTCTAGTATTATAATTATATAAATGTTTAATTAATTGTTATCATTTGTTTAGGAGGACTTGCGTCGTGCTAAGCATAAAAAACAACCTATTATTGATGAGGATTTGACAGAATGTGATGATGATCCCATCTCTATGTTGTTGACCATATTACCACGGTTGAGGAAGAGACTGTGTCAGATACAATGGGATGTTAGAGTGTTTGGAATTGACAATTCCAGTGTTCCATTATACATTTCCTTGCCCGATGCTTTAGAAATTGCTGGGGGAAATTGCATGTTAAACATTTCCATCATACAATTGTGGGCAATGTAAGTCATTCTCATTTATGTTTCTAAGATTATAATAATTATATTCAACTTATAATTAATTGTTTTAGGTACATTGACAAATTGAGTGTGGAACAAGAAAATCCGAAGTATACGGATTTATTGAGCCTCAATCCATCCAAAAATCCGGAAATACAAAGGTTGGAATCCAACAATATATGCAAACATGGGTGAGTGACTCAAAAAGACATATATATTTGGCTCCATACATTGACGGGTTAGTATTTTAATTTGTATTTTAATTTATATTTTTGTAACTAATTTTTATGTCATACAATGTAGGTCCCATTGGCAGTTAATTGTAATCATACCCTGGATTACACTCGTGGTGTGGTTTTGTTCATTACATCGGAAACCGAGTCAAGAAATGAAAAGCTTATTACAAGGGTAACTTTATCTTTTATTCATTAATTATGTTTTTAAATTGTAAATATATATTGAATAATATATGACTTTTTTTCACTTAGAATCGTGTCTCGGAACTAATGTTCTAAGTGGAAAACCTAGAACAAAGACTTTGCAGTTCATTTATCCTAAGGTTAGAAACTTATTTATATAAGTGAATACCATAATTATTGTTTGTATTTAAATTTTGAAAATAACATTATGTTTTTTTCATCATTTCAGTGTAATAAGCAAACGGACTCGTTTGAATGTGGTTACTATGTTATGTATTGGATGAGAGCCATAGTTTGTGCGTGTATAATTGATTCTTAGACTGAGGTAATTGTTTTTAACATTAGTTAAGTTTATTTAACTTTATTCATGTTGCATGTTTACAAGAGTCAAATTAATGTTTCAAGTATTTCAAGATCCATCTCCATTACCAAAATATGATATTACACAAATTAGAGAACAATGGGCAAAATTTTTTGTTCAACAATTCTAGTACATAATTTTTTAAGTTCTTGTTCATATTATATTGTGTGTATTATGTAGTTTAGGTAGCTTAGTTTGTATTAACTTTTAGTTTGTAATAGATTTTTTAGTTTGTATGTTTGTATTATATTGTTTTATTATGTAGTTTGAATTATATAATATTATATTTTTAATTTACTAGCTAAAGAAAATTGAACCTCTGGACTATCTGGTTGTAATATATATTTGCAGGTTTTAGTTGTAAAATAGAATCAACCCAATTTAAAAAAAACAGCAAATTTACGTCGCATATGGTATATGCGACGTAAATTTACGTTGCATATTGGTATATTTGACGTAAATTTACATCGCGTATACCAATATGCGACGTAAATTTGCTGTTTTTTTTTAATTTTTGAAAGTTTTTACGTCTGTTTAGTGGTATATGCAACGCAAAATTACGTCGGGTCTTGATAACTGACGTAAATTTACGTCGGGCTAAAGGATCCGACGTAAATTTACGTCTCCCGTTTTAACGTCAATCTTAAATACGACGTAAAAAGCCCTAAATACCTGACGTAAAAGCCCATTTTTGCACTAGTGAACTCTATAATTCTTTTCACATGAAATTTAGTATCCTCTTTAAGATCCTCATATTTCAAGAACAGAACTTTGGTTGGTCTGTCTATGCTTAACCTAGCATATGACTCCACCATGGACCAAACTCCGTTACACCGTCTCCACCATGGACCAAACTCCGTTACACCGTCGCAAAACTTTTCAAATGCTTCCTCGAGTGTAAGAGTAGGTGAAGACATTGACTTGGCTTTAGGAAAGAATTCCCAAGCTGAAACAAAAGTGTCAAATGGATTCCTGCTAATATAAATTATCTTACAGTTAGAGTCTTTGATGGAGTTGGGTAATGAAGGGAATGGTATGTGGATACCCAAAAGCCTTGCCTCACTCATGTTGGATAAGTTAAGAATTTGATCATCCAAATCACGAGGCAGAATGAATTCAATGGGAGGCACAAGTTCATGAGGATTGGAAGTGAGTAATGGATGGTTTTCAAAAGAGGGAAAGCGTTGATGGTTCAAAATAGCAAAAGTCAGACCTTTCAACCAGGTAGTACCTGATTTTGGAAAACTGGCAACAAAAACATCATTGTCTTTTACATGAAAATATTTTTGAAAATTGTATACTCCTTGAATGACAGTCGATGGGTACCAAAATTCTTGTAACAGATGTAGATGGGGAACTGCACCCAAACCTATTGTTTTGGGAAGGGAGAGAATAAACTCATTTGCTTAATTAATTTGTTTCTCACTTGTCAAAGCCATTGGAGTTGGGAGAATATGAATGATGATTGATGATAAGAACTACAAAGAAGGGTGAAGCACATTTGCATTGCAAGGTCGAACTTTTATAAGGAAAAGAATAGGAAAAATCATTTCTGCCCTTGCCTTCTTTTTAATTAAAATTATCTTCCAATAACAAAAACTTGATAAAGGTATGAATTATGGTTACCGAAATTGGCAATAAACACTTGATAAAGGAAAGCGAAAAAAATTAACATATCAGGAGAAGTGGGATTTTGTTTAGGTTGTGTTGATAAGAATGTGGTTTTTTTAGGTTGGATGTTAAATAAGAAATATAAAAGCAGTAATGTAGCACCAAATTATGCTCCCAGTTATCAAATATTTGGTGTGTAATAATTCATTAATTGATTAACAATGCAAGTAGCCAGCTGCCAAAGGCTTAAACCACATCCACTACAAGAAAAAAGCCTATTACCTACGGAATATTACCTACGGGTAAAAATCCGTAGGTAAATTTTACATTACCTACGAATTTTACCTACAAAAGTATGTTCGTATATAAATTATCTATTACCTACGGAATTTACCTACGGACGGGATGATTATGCATTACCTACGGATGTAGGAGGTAGGTAATGTTTTTTTACTACTTTACCTACTCATTTACCTACGGATGTTAAATAAAAAAAAAGAAAAAACCCTCGCTACACTTCCTCCGCGCCTCACTCAAGCTCCCTAACTCCTTCCTTCGTCTCCCTCAATTTCACTAACCTCCTCTATAACCCGCCACCCACCTCCTTCACCAGAACCCTAGCTGCAGCCTCCCCACTCTCGAGCACCCCACACGGTATCCTCATTTGAACCCATATACCCGTCACCACCAGGCTTCTTCCCCGTCACGACCACAACCATACCTAATATTAATACTTAAGAATATAATTAATTTAAATGAGTATTATAAATTTTAAATTCTGAAGTATTTACAGGTGTAATAATAGTATTAGAATATTCATTAATAAAATCTTGAAAATATTGATACATAATATTTCTTTACAACACTTATTTCTCACCTTGGAGGCACTCTCTCCATTCCATCCCAAAGGTTGCAGAACAAAAATATTGTAAAGCGAGTGTCTTTGAAAATAATAATTTATGTTGAAATATTTCACATTTCAACCATAATTTTATTAAATTCATTCAAAATTTAACTATTTGTTATGGTAAATAATTTCTAATTTTGTTTATTAAATTTTAACACTTATTTACTTTTACTTATTTTGAGTTATGTATATTAAGGAGTTGATTAAAGTTTAAATTTGTCTAGAATAACGTAATGTTTTGTATTAATTGTAAATCATTAATAATTTCTACATAACTCTATTTTTAACAAGTAATAGTATACTACATAGATAAGTAGATATACAAATAATATTTTTAATTTAATAAAATAAACATAAAACATTAAATATTTTATAAATGATAAATATAAAATAAAATAATAATTTATATGAAATTAATTATAATATTAAAATAATAATATTATGCAATATATAAATATACAACTAATTTTATTTGTAAATAATAAATATAAATACTAAACATAAATGAAGTTAAAATTTATATAAAAGAATAATATATAATTAATAACAAAATTCACATATTATAACTTATTTTTATATTATTCAACAACATATTTTATTAAAAAAGTAGTAAAAAAATACTATAATTAAATATTTATAATTAAATATATATTTTAGCAACCGAATTGCTAAAAAAAAAATTCTCAGTGACCAAATATACTTGGTCGCTAATTTAACTTATAACACTACAAGAAAAAACACATTTAGCCACCGAAATTAGCGATCGAATTTTTCGGTTGCAATCCGATTTTATTTTGGTCGCAATTAGCGACCGATTTAGCGACCACATTAATTCGGTCGCAATTAGCGACCGATTTAGCGACCAAGTTAATTCGATCGCAATTTAGCGACCGATTTAGCGACCAAGTTAATTCGATCGCAATTTAGCGACCGATTTAGCCACCAAAATATGATTTGGTTTCACTTTTTTATTTAGCGACCGAAATAGCGACTAATATTTTGTGTTGCAAAATTTCGGTCGCTAAATCGGTGGCTATTCCATACTAAAATAAAAAAATCATTTAGCGACTCGATTTAGCTGATCGAATTACAAATTGAAATAGTGACCGAATTAAAATCGATCGCTAATGAGAAAATAGCGACCGAATTGAAATCGATCGCTAATGAATATTATTTTTTTATAAATATACTTTAATTATTTTAGTATATTTTTTACAATTTATTTTTTAAAAGTAATTTATTTTTTAAAAACAATTTAATTTTTAAAATATACTTTAAAAATAAACTTTGGTCTCAATATTAACAAAATGAATTGTAATAAATCAAATTTATTAAAAATTTAAATTGTAATAAATTAAGACTAGAGTGATATTAACTATTCAATACATTGTTTAAGAAAAGTTTAATAACAAATATTCTTTAATTTATTTTTCAATTGAAATTAAATTATATTTAAAAAATTTATATTAAAAAAATTAAACACATCAAATTATCACATTTTAATTCCTCATTAACTTAATTAATTAAAAAATACAATTTTAATCAAATTATTACAATTTTATTTTACAATACTTTATTTTTAATCTAATCTTTATATTTATTGCTTTATTATTATTAATTACTTAATCATGGTTGTTGTCATATAATTGATATACTAAAAAAAATTATATCAATATACATTAGATAATAAATATATTATTTAATTAAACTATTTATAAAAATATATTTATCTTTAGTTAAAATATTTTTTAGTTTAAGTATACTAATTAATATTTTTTATTTTTAACATAATTAATAAAAAAGATTAAAATTTTAAAATTAATCTATTTTATAAATACTAAAAATAAACCATATTTAAATAAATGAAAAATATACTTAAATTTATATTCAATGTGCTTTTTTAAAATTTATATTCAACATATATTTAAATTTATATTAAAAATAGTTAATATAAATTAAGGTTGTGCCTTTTTAAAATTTTAACTTTTTTATATATTGGATTTTCATTAAAAAATTTCTAAAATTGCATAAGAAAATAGAGATTTAATTATACTTTTAATAAATTTAAGATAATAATATTTTTTATTTTTAAATATTTATTTTAATTTTTTAAAAGAGAGAAACTATAATTTTAGTTTCTAAATACTAAATTTAAAGAATTATATTTATTATTATTTAATATTTTAATTTTAGTATTAAAAATTTAAATTTTATTTTATTAGATTAAAATAATTACAATATATTATTCTACTTTGAGAATTAAAAATATAATTAAACTAAAACTGAAAATATTATAATACATTTTTGAACTCTTTTTTATAATATTTTTATCATTATTATATGTTTGGATTAATTATTTTTTTCCTAATTTTTTATAAAGTCAATTTTAATATTTAAAAAAAGTATTTAACATTTTGAATTCTGAAACTTTTTCTCTATTAACAAATTTTAAAACATAATATACTAAAAAGTATTATACATAAATATTTCATCCAAATTTTTAATAACATGATAAGTCATCAAATTCGTATATAAAACAAATTTAATGATGGATTAAAATAGAACAACATTTATAAGAGACTATTTATTTTTATTTATGATTGATCAAAAGTGGAAATACATTTAAATTTATAATTTTATTTTTGAAACACATTTAAATTTATAATTAACGAAAATAATGAAAATCTTAATATAATATGATATTTTTAGTAATGTATTTTTTTATAAATTTAAACTTACTTTTTTTAGTTTAGTTTTTAAATTTTATGTATTATTATTGTTAATTGATATACTAGAATAAATTTATATAAAAATAGTCTTTATCTTCAAAATTCACTTCTTCAAATACTATCTTTATATTTTTCTACAGTTTCTTTATAGTTAAGAACGTCAACATTTGTGCACACACTTAAATATAATATAAAGTAAAGAGTATTTGTTTATTCTATTTTATTTCCAATCTATAATTTGAGATTTTTTTAAAATATATTTGTATTTTTAAAATTAATAATTTTAATGTAGTTATCTAAATTTTTGATGTGATGATTTTAATTAATTGATATTATCGAATAATTTAATTTGCTTTATTATAGTAAAAATTATAAAAATAAATGTTAAAATAATATTAATTATTTTAAATTATAAGAAAATAAATAATAAAAATAGAAAATAAAGTATTCTATAAAAGAAGACTAATTATTATAAAATAAAATAGAATATGGGAGGAAATGAGGATGATAATATAATAAAAATAATAGAGTTTAAAAACAATGTAGAATGTGAGGTTTAAAAAGAAAAAAAAAGTTAAAAAAGGATATATATATATATATATATATATATATATATATATATATATATATATATATAATTGTAATTTTATTAAATTTATTATCCCCTCATATATTATTATACATTATTAGTGTAATTTTAGTTTAATTAAAAATTAGAATACAAATATACTATACTATACTAATATACCATTATATTATTTTCATTGTATATAAATTACAAAACTAATAATTTTTAAAAAATTTAATGATAATTTTTTTA